CTGCATCAAAAAGTCACACATTCTTCCTTTAACAATGAGATTAATCGATCATGATAAATTATTCAATGACACACGTGTGTACTTGTAGGGACACGTTGCAGGTTGAGACTTGAATATGCTGGAAGCTGTCCATCAAACGCAGCGAGCTCAGTGCTCTCCTGAGTGTGGAGAGAGGGACGTTTCTGAGTCGCTGTGTGAAGACGAGCATGAAGGACGCAGAGAGGAGACACCTGGCAGGCGGTGAACGGAGAGTCTGACATGCTTCTGGTTTCAAGGCATTTATTTTATAGGGAGAAAGTAGAAGTTCAATTAGACTCTATCTTGCCAGCTGGGTTTGGTGTTATGCTAACCGGACGGCGATAAACCACTTACTCACTTAATGAAATGACACTCTACATCTGTGTGCGGGATAATATTTCACAGGTTTTGCTCTGGAGGGTCGTTCGTCTTGTAGCTCACAGCAGATGTCCAGCTCAGCATAAAGACGGTGGCCGAGACCTAATCAGTCACCGAAACTAAGAAAGTCCTCCTGTGCAGGTCGATCATGCACCGACGCTGCCAGCTTTGAGGGTTTGTTACCCGCAGAGGCTACTCATGCTGAAAATGTGTGCACACATGGCACGAGCGATTTGGGAGGAGGCGTCGACCACATGGCACATGGTGAAGGTTTACAAGGGTTCTCCTAACAGCCGCGCATGGAAACTGATTCATATTATAAGTGATGAATATTTTTCAGATCAGGAAAATCTTTTACGGTCTTTGGTTTGTCAAATGTTGAACTAACACGAGTTGAAGGCGTCACTTTAAGCTCTGCTAAAGAGATAATCTTTTCTGATAATTACGTGACAGTTTATAAAATATATTTTATTAATAATCTGCAGATCAATCAATTAATCAATTTAAGATTTTTTTGGGGGGGAGATTAGAATGGAGAGATAAGACAGTGGATAGAGTGAGAAATCAAGGAGAGAGAGAGTAGGGGCCACAGGCTGGATTTGAACCCGGGCCGCCCGCTTGGAGGACCACAGCCTCCATGCATGGGGCGCGCGCAATAACCACTGCATCACCAGCGCCCCCACCAAAAGTTATTTTAATGAAGTATCACTTTTTATATGCAGTGTAATAAAAAGCTGGAAGTCAGATCTTTTGATTTCTTCACATGTTAGAGCATGACGTCATTCATGACATCTTAATCTTTTAGATCATTGGTTCTCAACTGGTAGGTCAGGACACAAAAGTCGTTTTCAGTAAGATTTATTTTTTTTGGGGGGGGGGCTTGATGCTCTGTCAGATCTAAAGTTGTCAAATGATCTCATCTGTACATATTAAATTCAATTATGACAACATGCTTACTAGATAGTTATTTTAAGGTCTGTCGATAGAAGCAGCAGTTGCTCAGTCTTCAGGGACTTGGTTGGAAATTAGGGTCGCCTGAGGGTCGTCGGTCAAGTCACGGTGAGGACTAAGTCCAGAAATTGTCTGGTAGCTGAAGAGCTGCCAGCTCACTTCTTAAAACTGCTGAGTCACTTTGAGGAAGACACTGAACCCAGAACTGTTCACAAGCTTTTCCGTGCAGCCTCGTCACTCTGACATCTCTCCATAGGTCATAGGAAGTCCACAGTGGGCGGCTGTGGCGCATTTGTTAGAGTCGTCGCCTCTCAATCGAAGGTCAAGGGTTCATCCCAGCTGTGATGTGTCCTTAGACAAGACACTTTACCCTGAATTGCTCCACTACTTCAGTGGCGGTGTATGAATGGGATTAGATACTTCTGACGATGATGCTACATAGCGACCACTACCATCAGTGTGTGAAAGGGTGTGAATGTGTAGGTGTGACATGTGGTGTAAAGGTGCTTTGAGTAGTCGGAACGCTAGAAAAGCGCTTTATAAGCTCAAGTCCATTTACCATTTATATGGTCCTGTTTGTGCATGTTAGCATGTCCAGCTAATTAGCAGTGAGTAACGATGCAGTGTTTACTTGATGTGGAGCTCCTCTGTTTGGGGTTTTATTGGATCTGAGGACGTTTACACTCGACTCAAAACAATTCAACATTTAAAAATCACCTCCTCAAAACATTTCTCTCATAGCTTTCAAATTAGAATTTTTTTTTTTTTATGAACGCTAAGAAGCCAGTTTTGGTTTTGTCACATTGAACAAGTGGTTAATTGTAACCTGCTGGATCTTTGATTTGTCTTTTCTTTAAAATGTAAATCAGGTTACATTGCCTTCATGTTTGAAATTATCCATATTAACCGCCTTTGCTTTCATTCAAATGCGTTTCATTTTAAACGAACCATACGGATAATCAGCGTATAGAAAACACTTCAGTACTTTTTTCCTCTCAGTCAGCCTCTCCATTCACATGTGAGGTGAATAAATGCATAAATTAAACATGTTATTGTCGTGTTCAGAACACCAGACTGATATTCAGGGAGGTTTGTAAGCTCAGTGTTTTGTCTTTTTTTTTTTAACATTAGCCCTCAGGGTTTCGTTATCTCGCCCACACAGATTATTGATTGCGTCCTTGTTTCTCTTCATCTTTATTTCATCTGTGCCGATTTAATCACGTCGGCTGTATGTGTCTTCACTGCACACGCGGAATACATTTAATTTAAGAGGTCACAGCTTTCGTTTCAGATCGGCCATCTCTGTTATTTTCCGCGGTGAGAGCAGGTGGTCCTGAATATCTCGTGTCCACCACATAAAACAAAAAATAGTTCTTGACAGCGGCGCCTCCGGCTCGGCCAAGCACTTCCCCAAGCACGACGAGCAGCTTTCACGGGTGGGAGGCCTGTGAGGGAACACTGCTCTGGTGTGTTTTTTAACACTCTGCATGTGGAATTACAGCCCAGCTGAAACACGGCTATAGCGAGTGGACGGACATCAAGTTAAAAAAGAGGAAAACCGTGGGAACCTGGGAGACTAAAAAGTGCATGTAGAGTAAAATTGAGACCTTTGCAGAGGAGAGCGGAAGGCTCTCTGTAGTGCCTACAGGCAATGAAATACAGCTCCTACCAGCAAATGTACCTCGCATAAAACAGTTTACACAATCTGCCGTAATGTAGTCCATTTATTCTGCCTTCAGGTAGGCTCTGAATCTAGAGGTCATGATAGACACTGAGTGCTGCTGCTTAGAGATAATCAAATCTGCCCTGTTACAAAAGTATTTTTAGTGGCTGCCTTGTGATACAAATCAAACTGCAGGAAAGTGTTGATATGTGCGGTGCAGAGTGACTCCTGTGTTCTGCTGGTTGAACCTGAGAGCAGCTCTTTGTTGAGACCTCCAAACAAACCGCAGCTCCGATAAATATCAGACTTTAAAATCTGTCTGACACCCAGATGGTCGTGGCTTTACTGACCTGAGAATCTCTCCATTCGGTTCTACATTAACCTTTAGACTCGGAGAGTAAAGATTAACCAATGCATTTTGAAGAACTGCTTCAAGAGTCAGAAATTTGACTGCAAATAAACTGAACCAACACAAAACGAATAATGCCGATACAGATTATTTGAATTAGTTGAATCACTGCTTAGTATTCTCTGCTAAGGAGTCAAGAAGTTTGCAGCTTCGGGAATCGTTCAGAGAAACAAAGTTAAATGTCTCACTAGTGTTGGCATGCTCGACCGTTGATGCTGGGTCTGAGAGAAAACGACAGGAAACAGTTTTTTAATTATTGATGTCGCTGCAGAGAGGCTACAAATTCTCAAATGTTGATTCTTCACACACTTCAGAAGAAGAAGAAAACAATCGAGTCAGATTCAAGGGGACATCCGACACTCATTATTTTAGAAATATGAAAATATGGTCAAACACACACACAGACACACACACACTCACATATATATAAATTATATACATGTAAGGCTCTCATGAGAGAAGCTTGATGTACAGATGTATCTGCCCATCGAAGGATTCTCAGAACTCCTTTGTAGCTGCTGACAAATCCCAGTCATAGTTCTGTGTGATACCAGTCGTCCCAGTGGAGACACTGCTACAGCTGTCTTGTATAGTATTGGTGGTGTATGTTTGTCTTTTTACCTTCTTTACGTTGTTAACACGTTAGTTTTTATCCGTTTACAATGGACTCCTGATTCTGTCAATAAAGATGATGTATGGATATGGAGAAATTAGCTTAAGCTGGCCAAAGGATGGACAATGTGGGAGACCAGTCATAGTGACAGTTTCAACTGATTTTTTACTGTATAATGCTCCTAATCTAAACACTAGATGACTTGACCAGACAACGAGACCACACACCGGCCGATTGTAAAAAAAACGATTCCATAGACGCGAGATCTCACAGAAATCCATGTGATCAAATGTGACTTCAAAAGAAAAAGCTAAGCTAACAGCTAAGCAGACGATAAAAGTGTTTGACAATAGCCCCAATGGCCCCAAATTGATGCTTTTGCAAAATGTAGGGATATACCGTCAAGTTATTGTTTGTTAAGAATTAGAAGGACATCAAGTACAGGGGACAGACTTCCTGAAGCGCAGCTGGAAACTCGGGGTGACTAAATCTTTACAGTTAAGGGTCTGGATCGAGCTGCCCCCCTGAAATCAGATCAGCAGACTGAGTAACCTCTTCCAAATCTTTTCCTGAATTCACCTCCTGGGTTTTTTGACCGTCCTCTGTGATTCGTCCTCCATGGTTTTATAGATTTCACTTGTTTTATTTGACATGTTTTTACGACTTATTGTCTTGTTGGCTTTCTTTACAGCTAAATGCACTTTGTTGTATTTGTGTGAAGCCCTTAGTTTAGTAAAGTGCTGAATATCATTACGATTATCATCTAACCCCCGACATGATGCCTCTAACGCTGCAGCTGAGGTAAACAAACAAACCGCCTCAGAGCGATGACAGCGACTCAGGAACTCAGGTAATAATATCCCATAACCCCAGAAGCACTGCATCCTGTGTTTGGACATGACTTTGAAGGTTTTTGCTCTTGCAGCGCCGGAAGCTCAAAATAACCAGAATGTGAGCAGCCGTGTTACCTGGGCAGGGAAGCGTGCAGGCCTCTTTCAGTGTGATCTGCTTGTCTCCGTCGACGGCGAGCTCCAGGCTGCTGCACAGCTCCTCGTCCACCAAACCGTCGCCTTCACGGGAGCCGTCGGACACGAAGCAGGACAGGTTCCTGTAGCGCATGCCGTGCCCGCACACCACACTCTGACAGCACGGGAACACCACAGAAGAGGAAGAAGAAACAGGAAGAGGAGGAGGAGGAGGAGGAGGATGAGTTATCACAGTGAGACTACAGCCATGGAGGTAGTTAAAAAGTGGGAAAATTATAGTAACAGTGTGGCTGGATTAAATTGAAAACTGAGTTAATGATGTTAAAATAAAAACCTGAAGCTGTTCAAGCTCTTATATGAGGATTATTTTCCTAACTAGGATAAATAGTGCGGAACTGCAATAATGATGTTATTAATGCGTGCTTTTTAAAGCTGCAGTGAAAGATAACGGTCAATACGTCCTGATGACTTCCATTATTGAATCAGCACAGATCAGAGTGGATGCGATGTAAACAACACGTTTGAGGCTTCATCAGAACAGAGAGGGTTTAAAACTGCAGCTCGAGCCGTGATGAGTCACACATTATTAAGACCTGCACCAAGAGGCTCGTTGTTTCTCCTCGTCTTGGCATACTTAAAGTTTATCAGGAAAAAAAGACGTAATTGATGTGATTGCTGAAGAAGTGAAATCTGTGTTTGTGTAAAATAAAGAACGTTTTGTTGCTGTGAGATTCTCGTCTCTCTTTTTAGAACACACACAGACAACACAGATGTTTAAGGTGACATAATGTGCAAAATACACTTCACCATGTTTTTACAGGAGAAGGAGAGGGAGAAGGGATAGGAGAGATAGGAGGAGGAAGAGGAGGAGGAGGAGGAGGATGGGTAATATGAGGAAAAAAGGAGAAGAAATAAAAGAATGAGGAGGAAGAAGAGGAGACAGAGGAGGAGGGAAAAAGGAGAAGAAGAGGAGGAACAATGAGGAGGAGGATGAGAATGGGGAGGAGGAGGAAAAAAGAAGCAGAAGAGGAGGGATAAACTGGGGGAGGATGAGGGGTAGAAGGTGAAATACAAGAATTAAGAGGAGGAGACAGAGATGGAGGAGGCGGGAAAAGGGAAAGATGGGGAATAAGAAAGAGGAGGAGGTAGAGGGGTAGAAGGAAAATTAGAAGAATGAGGAGGAGGAGGAGGACTAAGAAGAAGAAGGAAAGAAGGAGAAGAAGGAGCTGGAGGAGGAGATGAAGATTGAAAAGCAGAAGAAGGAGAAGGAGGAGCAGGAGAAACACCTCAGGATCATCTGGAGGTTAACTCACAGACGACTTGAGAAAGCAGATTTTTAGGAGCAAATTCAATTTGTATCGACTTCGTTCTTTATGAAAAACAACTCAAGTTTTTTTGGCTGCACTGTAAACACACGCGCACACACACACGCACGCACGCACGCACGCACGCACGCACGCACGCACGCACGCACGCACACGCACGCACGCACGCACACGCACGCACGCACACCCACTGGTTTCATCTTCTGTTTTATTTCTATCTGCTCAGAGAGCGTTGTACCCGGGCTATTTCTGTGTACTTGCTGTTACCATGGTGAAACCTGAAGTTTCCAAATCAAACAGGACTATCAGAAAAGACCTGCAGACAACTGATCTGGATATCTCAACGAGGAGAGCGGAGGTGAGATGACTGGATCGGCGGTAACCTTACTCTCTCTCTTTCTCTCGTCATCCTTTTGAAGAAGGACTGAGATGATAGGACGGTCGACGGACTTCTTTTAGAGAAATAAAGGACTTAAATGAATAACTAGACGTGACACACCGCTCTCTGTGTGCCCATAAAACTACACAGACGCCTGAGAAGTTTTGTTTTATGTCATTACACGATGCACCAGACTACTTTAATATTCTGACCTGGTGGCTCACGATGCAAAACGAAGGGTAACTGCTGCCAAATATCTTGGCAAGGGTCTCGGTTTACTGTAATGGATCAGCATTACAAGTGCATTAGATTGATTTTTAGTGTCCATCTCACAGAATAACTGCACGCACAGGGATTTGATAGGGCTGTTCATCAATACTAAAGAGTCCATTATTATTATTTTTTTTTGCAAGGTGCTGAGATTTCTGTCTTCTGAAATCCACTTTTGGCTCAAACTCTGGTGTGTATTGATCTCGGCGGAGGCGGGGACCTGTCAAAGCTGCAATTTCTTGTGGCTGACAGTGGTCGATGTGATCGTTAATAATTAATGTCACTGGATTATTGTGTAATGTAATGATTCATTGACGTACCTCCACCCGACACTCGGACCAGGGGCTGTACTGCCAGCGGTAGCAGGGGCGCACCGGGCAGGGCTTCCACTGCTCCATCTGAGAGGGGCAGGGCCGACCGTCGCCCTGAGAGGCCTGAACCACCGCCCGCTGCCGCCACATCTTACCTGTGGAAACACAAAGGAAGTGACATCATCAGCTTTGAAGAAACACTTATTTTCCAAATTGATATTTGTGTATTTTCTAGGACTGAAAAAAGTCAACATTTAAATCATCACTTTAGAAGATCCTGAGTTTCTGACAGAACCCTCACTCAGCTCTCTCGTCCCCGGTGTCCAAGTCCAGGACAGACTCGCTTTATATCTCCTAGCTGCTGTCATTTTAACATAACTCTTCAATCTGTGCAATACATTCAGTGCCTGTATTAAACATGGACATATTCTCAGTGACGTCATCCCATTAGTATCTGAAGCTCAGTTTTTTCAGTTTTTTTCCCATTAGTGTCTGAAGCTCAGTTTTTTTTACCTTATTTTTTATTGAGTACACAGATAAAACATACAACTTCAGGAGATGCTTTTCTGTTACACTTGTCCATTTTCTCATGAAATCTTAACATGCCATTTTGCCAAATAACTACACATCCATATCCATACATGTATACACACACCTATTCCGTCATACCTACATTAGATAGACATAAACTTACATACATCCATATAATTGAAGCTCAGTTTTGAAATGTCTCAGACTAATTTTTGAACAACCTAAAAACAGGCAAAGAGCTGGGGCTGAGACAAACAGCTATAACATGCACCCCCATCAGCCAGATCAGCCATACACCTTATTATAAAAAACTCTTATCCTTCATTAAATCACGACGGTAGAGTGTGTACCAAAATATAATTAAGCTATAGATACCAAATTTGTTTTTGTACCAGGCTGTTAACATGTTTAATTCTGCTGTAAAAAGTTACGTTTTAATATAGGATCTAATGGAGATTTCTTGGATTCTGCAGCTGGCCTCAAGTGGACACTCAATGAATTGCATGTTTTTGCACTTTGGCATTGGCTTCATTTTTAAACACCGGAGCTTTCTGCTTGTTAAAAGATAGTTGATATGTTTTATTATTCAACCCACAGTTTATGGAAGAATTCATAAACATTTCTCTCACACGTGAAACATTAAACTTTACTGGAACATTAAACACATGAAGGCACATCAAGAAGTTCTTTGTAGGGCTGACTGACTTAAAAAGAACAAATGTCAGAGCTTTATTCGGAAAAGCCAAATCTGATTTAACAGAAAACATTCTGAGTCAGGTTCTACCTTTACTCTCATTCTCAAGGATTTGTCTCACCATGATTGCTCCGCCATACTGTTTGTGACTGAAATTGTTCAATAAAACAATTTGGTTTGGATATTAAGAAGGAACAAGTTCAGCTATGTGAGCAACAACAACAAAAGGCTCATCTCTGTCTCACTCTCTCCCGTGACTTCAACTTGGGTCTTTTGTTTTTTCCTCATCAGCGTGAAAGAACAAACGCTCTGTGATTTCTTTTTCCCAAATAATACCCTCATAAAGAGTGTTAAGAGGCTGTTTCTTCTGCCCCATAAACTCGGCAGTGAACAGCTGAAGCAAACAGCTTTGGCTCATGCAGTGACCATTGTGTTTTAGCACACAGCACTCGTCCATTTCCTCAGTAAACATCTCATTTTGGAGAGCGTGTGAACGTGTAAGTTAATGTTAACCGCGCGCGAGAGCACTCCACTTAACCGAGCAAACAGCCTGAAATGCTGCACTTTTTCTCTGCCATCTTGATTGAACCTTGGTCCACTTGAGTTAAAATATTTTTTTCCACATCAATCAGCACAATCTCTTTAAATAAATCTGATGAATTACAGCAGCTAACACCTCAGAGGCTTGTTTGATTTGAGTGCAGAGCTGTTGCCATGAATTAGCTTCCAAAACCTCAGCGCAGAAACCCCACACGTTTTGAAAAACGCAAACCTTCTTGTCTACCTGTTTGTAACCACCCACTCGTCAACCTCACAACCCTTCATTTGCTGCACATCCCTCTTTCATTTTCACACTGCCGAGCCAGCAATCTGCTCACCTCGGAGGAAACCTCTGCCAAACAACGACACCTTTCAACACACAGAACACAAACGGGCCAGCCCACGCACACACACACACACACACTGTACAACCTCATTCTGAATTCCACCAAGAGAACATCCCACCCGCACACACACACACACACACACACACACAGAAAGACATCAAATAAGGTCCCCTCTTGCTCCCTTAGCCTTTCTTAAACTTTTATCTTATTCCTTGTGATTTAGAAACTATCGCTGTACTGCCTCTTCTTCAAAGCGCTCCCTGCAGCCCTGAGGAGCAGGAAAGATGTAATGGGACAGAATCAATTTTTGTGAACCGCCGGAACAACAACCCTGCAACAGGAGGAACACATTTTCACTGCTCATTTGGGAAGACTGTAACGCCTCCAAAATAAACACTTCCTCTATTTTTTTCTGTGATATTTTTTTTCGGCCAAAATGCCTCCAGTGGGAGCAGGAAGTGTCTGATAAAGGACTTTTTTTAAAGTTTTGCTGAGCATGCATTTTTTTTTTACTCACACAACGCTTTAAAGCACTTCAGTGTGGAGTCATGTAGATGCACAGGAAGCTGTTGAGGAAAAAAGATCCTTTCAAGCAAACCAGGAATAAATGGCTTTATACGGAGAGTAAAAATATTTTCTGAAGCTTTATGAATGCAGGTTCCTCCAGACTTGTGTGTTTTTTTTTTTACTTGCACCTTCCTGCTTCAAATTCAAATATGTACACATGAACACCTTGAGGCTGACAAGTCTAATCTCAGTCTTCACATCATAAAGTAGACTACTCCCCCCACCTGAAAACAAAGTCCATGTTGACCGTTGTCAAGACAACTAACCAACCTGAGGAAGAGAATATGTTTGCCGATGAGCTAATGTATCAAAGTGTAATTTTCATGATGTTTTCAAAACAAACCTCGCTGTAAAAAGGAGGCAGTTGCTAGGGTTACGGCTCTAATCATAGACTATGGAGGATTATCTGTTAATGCACGGAGAGATGGACAGTTAACTTGACGTCGCTCTGTTTACAGTAAGAAAAAGAGAAAGGAGATGAAAACAGCGATGAAGAGAAGCAGAAACTGTGCGCCATGACAATAACTTATGTTAACTGACTTCAATCCACAAACATGTACTTACATGTTTGTTAAACATGACAAAACTTTTTCATTAGGTGACAACTGAAGCATACATCCTTAGTCTACAGCCAGTGTAGTCTCAATTGTTTCACAGTTTAATTCTTCTGCAGAAACATTTTGTTTTTGAGAAACGAGATATTCAGCATGATTATGTATTTAACGAGACTCTACGAATCAGCCAGGTGTTCAGAGGTTTCTTTCAGATCACCCACAGAACAATTAGATGGATTATAATGAGAATCATGATGATAGACCTCAGGTCTGCCCCCTCACATTATCACAGTGCATTAACAATGTTTTTACCACCTACTTGATGAGATTATTATGTTTATTCCACGCACAGCAGAGGTAGATATGACCCCTGGTATTTGACATGATCACTGATTCATTCCTGTGTTGTTGTTGTGAGTTAAATGAAGCTGAGATCACGACGGTCTCATTTATCATCCAGAAGATGACGGTGGGAAAAAAAAACTTTTCAACACCTTTTAAAGACACGAAGGATTAAAAAAACAATAGTTTTACAACAGGACAAGACAATGAGACCAACGTGACAATGTTACCATGACGATGTTACCCTGACAATGTTACCCTGACGATGTTACCATGACAATGTTACCCTGACAATGTTACCATGACGATGTTACCCTGACAATGTTACCATGACTATGTTACCATGAGAATGTTACCATGACGATGTTACCCTGACAATGTTACCCTGACGATGTTACCATGAAAATGTTACTATGAGAACGTTACCATGACGGCGTAACGATGACAATGTTACCATGACGATGTTGTTTTTTTAGCAGAATATGGAACCGAAAGATTTCTTTTTTTGTTGTTGTAATTTGATACCTGGAGCATAAAACACAGCTTGGACCACCGCTGTGCCCGTCAATGTCATTTCACCCTCATCCACCAATCGAAACCAAGAAGGGGCGGGACTTTGATATCAACTTTGTCAACGACAATAGTAGAGGAGAAACTGATCCGGGTTTTCTTTTTGATGGAACAATTTCCAGGTCTGAAGCTGCTGCTAATGCCAGAAGGCAATTCTTTAAATAGTTTTTAATGTTTTCTTGGTGAAATTCCATTGAGTAAAAGCAAATACCAAGGGTATATGTGCAATCTGAAATATATTTCAGTATCCAGGGATGCTGGATGCTTAAGTGCTGTTAATTTCGTTACCTAGAGTTCACATAACACCTTTTTTACTAAACTGAGATATTCTTGATATCATTGAGGAATGTTTTGGCTGCACGGCATGAATTTGACTGAACACACTGCAGACCAGCGAGGTTTCACAGATTAACCCTATTAAGCTGACTCAGTGGGCCCTTGTGTCTGCTGCTCATCGACTCGATGTGTTTGGACATTTGCCATCATGACGGCTGAGCTCCGTCTGATTGATTCATCCTCCTCTTTTATTTAAAGTCTTCAAGAACATATTGACTATAGTTTATAACTGGATTTAATGAAAGTATCTTTTTTCATTAAAAAAAAGGTTTTTAATGAGGTCGGTCCGCTGCATTTCTTCACACATCTACTCTGGCTGGGGAAAAAAACTCAGCTACATATCCAAGTCAGCAAAAATAAACGAAAAATGTATCCTTGGCCACAAAATCCCCAGCGCACATATTTTTGATGCTGTTTTTGCTAAAAATGTAGACAGCGAGGCAAGGTGAAGACTTCTGAGAAATCTGAGCTTCTTGGAGGCCACAACTACACCAAATGATGTCACCTGAGGCTGAAAGGTTTTACAGCTTTTCCCCAGACGCATCAAGTAAATCAACAACTGAAGAATCTTTGGTGTTGATAACTGAGATAGATACAGAGACTATCTTGAAAATCGATAAACAAAGAGCCTCATACAACAACCGTTCTTAGTTTGATTTAAAATAAACACAAGGTTCTTGTACCCTAAAGAAAAGAGATAGGCGCTCAGTGAGACCCCCAACCCGCCACGCATCACACAACACGCATTCATCAGCATGCTTTTGCCTTACTGATGAGTTACATACTCCACCACATGGCTCTTAGTGGCCACCACAACCCAAACAGCATTGCCATCTTCTACAGACCCGACTCCAGTGACCACACTGATACTTTCTACCCTATGGCACATAATGGCCCCCACAACTCAACCATGAGACTAGATGGACAGCAAGAGCCAGCACATCACTGGGGCCATCAAGTGGGCCCCTTCCTTCACCAGTGTTTCCTCAAGTCAGGACCACATCCCCTCATGAAGGCTCAACAGTTCCCTTCAGGATCCCAGAGCCGCCCACTCCCTGCGAGCTCTCACCACCTGCAGAACCTCTCTGTGCTATCAAATCCTTATGTAGCGTAAAGAAGCTAACAAACAAAATGACAATGTTTGTGTGTGCCAATAGCAGAATACAAAAGAGAAAAAACATAAAAAGAGTCTTTAGAAAGATGTGACACAGAGGACGGGGGAGGCAGAGCTGGAGAAGAGGTGTTACTTTTCACATCTTGTTGGTTTCCCAGAATTACCAAACCTGCCTTTAAGAACACGTCATGCATCTGACAAAGGTTTTTCTTATTAACTTTTCAAAAGACAAATTTAAGAAATTGGTGAATGCGGCAAATACTTGTAGCACTAATATATATTGTTGAACCTGCTTTCAGAGACGGTGTCTAGTTGGAGAAAGAGAACACGATTTTATGTCATTTCTTGCAGTCAGTTAGTTCTGTCTAAGTTTTTGACCACAGTGCCAATTTCCCCGGATAAGAATGTCAACTAAATGTCAGGGACAGTTTGGACGGTTCATATTGATCGTGGCTGTGAGCAGAATGTCCCGTCTATTGTGAATCTTACCTTCTAATCCGCATGTCTGCGAACACTCGGACCAGACCGACCAACCCGACAGCTGACAGTTGACGGGACACTCGACCACACAGGAGACGTTCATCTGCCACTTCTTCTCCAATTTCAACTGCAGCAAATGGAGAAAATGAAGAGGGATAAAACACGACTATCCATCACATCATTGAGAATAAAACTGCACAGTCACAGCACAGCCAACTCAATCTGTCCCGGCCTGACGTCTGCTTGACCTCTTCGCACTACAATTCCCAGAAGCCTTTGTTCTTGTGGAAGGACTTTGCTGAGCAGCATCAGGACCGGCAGAGTTGGAATATGGCGGTTAAAGCCTCTCTGACACAATGTGTTTTTGTGAACGAGCCAGATGATGAAGTGGGCCAAGGGTTAAATAGCTGTGGGGACGCTGTGCCGCAGCCCGCCGGCTACAATTACAGGGAGCAGAGACACATTAGGAATGAATTAAACCCTCAGCCTGAGGCCATGACAACAATCTCAGCGTGGGAACAGATCTGAATATTTCATGTTCCTGTGGGCCTAATAGTAGTGCAAGGGTGGAATAATATATAATAATGACTGATGTGATTACGTCATTAAGAGAAATGAGGATGTCAAGGAAAGAAAAGAGAATCAGAAAGGAGAAATTAGGTGTTTTGCGCAGGTCTCACCTCCTCGCAGAATTTGATGTCCACTGATTTGCCGTCGCTGCGAACACAGTCCAGCATCCGGGTCTTGATGCCGCCCCCACACACGGCATTAGGACTCAGCTGACATGTGCTCCAGTCTGCGGACAAACAACATCATTACCTTTAAAAACTGAGGGTCTGAACCAGCTATCAGACTGTGGCTCAGTTGGTAGAGTCGGTCGTCTCTCAACCAGAAGGTCAGGGGTTCGATCCTGAGCTCCTGAAGCTACATTACAGATGTTACCTTTGGCAAGACACTTAATGCCACAATTGCTTCATTGGCTACGTATGGATTAGTTACTTCTGATGGTCACTTCACATAGCGGCCTCTACCATCGTGTCTGAATGTGAAGGTGTGACCTGCGGTGTAAAGTGTTTTGAGTAGTCAGATCACTAGAAATTTGCAATACAAGCCCAACTCCATTTACCATTCCGCAAACGCACACACAAAGGTTTAAATGCACCCCTAACTGTGCTGCAGAGCAAACAATGTATCTGTGTGCCGGTACAGTTTGCATGTATTTAAATAAACCATTAGGGCCTGTGTCAACTGAAAAACCTTTTTTTGCACTGGTAGCGCCTGCCCATTTTGATTAAAATGCAGTTTGCTGTTTTTAGCGCCAAGTTTCCTAAGCCCAAATCGCCCTCAGTGCTAATGTTCGTCACACATCGGTGAACCGATGAGATCCAGTGTTTGGCCGAGTTGAATAATTTGGCTGAGTTTTGACTGTTTTCTTCCCTTTAGACAAGTCGGCTACTCTATATGTATATTTGCAATTAATCGACGAGGAAATTACTCGCAAGGAACATCCCTTAGTTTAGAGATAATGACGAGAGCAGTGAGAGAGACAAGAGTTAACATGCAGGCTGGAGATCCATGACAGTCTGCTGAAAGACACTGACACACGCATTAGAGTAAATTGTTCATCAACAAGAGCAACCCCTTTCATCTCCAGAAGACAGAGTCATTAAACCATTAATAATAGTAAAATAATAATGATTACAGCAGGTTTCAGGTAAGCTAACTTTACATGCACCTGTAATAGAAAGAAAAAAGTAACGTTGAATAAATCATCTCAGGGTTTATTATATTCACTCTCTTAACAGAGAAGCAGGTGCTGGAATATAAGTGAGACATATCAGTATGAAAAGAGTTGCAATGATGGTGGACAACATGTTCCTTTGCTTGCTGACATGTCGTTGAAAGATGGATTCATCGCACCTGCTCCAAACAAAACTAGAATCACACCCTTACATAAAAAAAAAAATAAAAAAAACACTTCACAGTGGAAAGCAAACATTTACCCAGTGTAGCATCTTGCTACCTCTGATATTACCTCCCTGGGAGCAAGGCTGGTGAGAGGGGAAAAGGGGGAGGAAAGAGTCACAAGAAACCAACTTTTTCACCGCTGTTCCTGCTCTGTACTTTGTGGATGTATTTTTCAGTTGAAGCAGGATGACGTGGCGAGACAAAACACAAAAAGATGCCGCTCAAAAGCGTTCAAATGCATCAGCTGTCGAAAAAATTCTTTACACTTCAGAATAAATAAATCCCAGACGGTGGGAAACAAGCGTGGTGTGTGTGAACTTTGAGGGTGAACACACAGAAATGCTCTGTCACATCACGTCGCCTCATGTTGCTTTGAAAGTTGTTTAGCTTAAGCCTTTATTTTCCTGATATAAGAAGCAATCCACGACTTTCACTTGAAATGTAATTCAGATCCAGATTTCTGATTTGGTGTATTGACACAGCCAAACTCAGTCGAGCTAATTGCACGTCATGTTGCTGACATAAACAAAAAATCTCCTTCCTCCTCTGCACTGCATCTGATGGATATTTTAGGACAGACGTGCTCAGCATACAGACAAACCACTTTGGGCTCCAAGATGACTCAGCAGAATTGAGAGCGTGCATTTTGCATGCCACGCTGTAAGTTTGCATCAGTTTCTTCACCAGTGTTGCATGACACACTTCCTCTCCCTCTCCCTCGGCCCAAAGCCTCCGAATAAGCGATGTGTGTGTTTTTAAGTTTGTTTGTTTGGAGTCAGACTCGTAATAGCCTCTGCTTGTCAGAGATCTCTCTCGATATCAGATGATTATTTTGTCGGCAAAGGGGTCACTGAAGGTTTATAACAGCTCACTTAAATCCAATAAATCTGGCTGCCATCAGTTCCCTTTCATGCCAGCATCATAAGCAAGCTGTGTGGCCCAACTTCAATTGAGTAACCAGGATTTAAAAGCAACATCAAGGCAAGTTTTCTAAAATAAATCGCACAAGAAGAATCAAGTAGGAACAGGCTGATCCTTGGCTCCCTTAAAAATGATTTCTGTGTAGTGGAAAGACAACATTTTATTCCAGACATAGGCTGCCAGTGCCTTTTTAAAACCCCAGTGTGCACGCTGATGTTAAAAAAAAAACCTTCTGTAACAACAGGGAGGCTGAGGTATCACTCATGATGTGTGCCATCCGCTGACAAAGATGAGCGTCTGTTTTTAGCTGCACTGAGCTCGTTTGCAAGCTCAACTCAGGGAATTGTGTCTCTGTCTGCTGGAGAGCTTTGTGGGACTCTGGGGACCGAAAATAGGGAGAAAGAGCAACAGCAAAAGAGAGAGAGAAAGAGACATAGACAGAGAGAAACAGAGTTAAACTGCAAAGGAATGGAGAAGAGGAAGCTTGGATGGTTTCAGCATCAACAAAAAAAAAGAGTGCTGTACCCAATAATCATCTCTCCTCGTATTTTATGTACACATGCAGCCTTGGAAGCTCGTTTGCCACTGTGAACCCAGCAGTAGGGATTATGTGTCACGTCTCCCGGTGTAACATGCAAAGCATAGAGAGAGAAGGAGGCTAGGCTGGGTGGTAATGTGGGGCAGCAGCAATGCAGGCAACAAAACAAACCCCACTGAAAAATAAGAGCGCTGGCAATCTCTGTTTTTTGTCTTCAATTGGAGTGAAATGCTGCCTTCATTTTCCAAATTGAAATGTGAAGGTGCAGCCTCTGTGATGTCATATAGAGGTGTGATATCCTGCAGATGAGACAGAGGAGTTCTGAGTGGATGAAAGTAAAAATCTATGAATAATTCCCAGAAAATCTCATTAACAAAGTGAAAATCTATCCATCCATACATCATCCATCTATCTATCCATCTATTCATCCATCCTTCCATTTATCCATCCATCATCCATCTCTTCATCCACCCGACTGGGAAGATCTATCCATCCATCATCCATCTATTCATCCATCCATCCATCCATCCATCCATCCATCTATCATCCATCCATCCATCTATCCATCCATCCATCCATCTATCTATCCATCCATCCATCCATCTATTCATCCATCCATCCATCCATCCATCCATCTATTCATCCATCCATCTATTCATCCATCCTTCCATTTATTCATCCATCCTTCCATTTATCCATCCATCCATCTATTTATCCATCCATCCATTTATTCATCCATCCATCCATTCATCCATCTATCCATCCATCCTGCCACCCATCTATCTATCATCCATCCATCTATCCATCATCTATCCATTTTCATACATCTATCCATCCATCCATCTATCCACTCATCTATTCATCATCCATCCATCCATCCATCTATCATCCATCCATCTATCCACTCATCTATCCATCCATCCTTCTATCCATCCATCATCTATCCACTCATCTATCCATCCATCCTTCTATCCACTCATCTATCCATCCATCCATCTATCCACTCATCTATCATCCATCCTTCTATCCACTCATCTATCCATCCATCCATCTATCCACTCATCTATTCATCCATCCATCCATCCATCTATCCATCCATCCATCTATCCACTCATCTATCCATCCATCCATCTATCCATCCATCCTTCTATCCACTCATCTATCCATCCATCCATCTATCCACTCATCTATTCATCCATCCATCCATCCATCTATCCATCCATCCTTCTATCCACTCATCTATCCATCCATCCATCTATCCACTCATCTATTCATCCATTCATCCATCATCTATCCATTTTCATCCATACATCCATACATCCATACATCCGTCCATCCCTTCATCTTTCCATCCATCCATCCATCTATCCAAAAATCCATCTTCATCCATCCATACATCCGTCCATCCATCCATCTTTCATCTGTTCTGTGTAGTTGTCCATTGAATAGTGACGCTAAATTAAACTACATAAAGAAACAAACAGAACAAAATGAGCCTATTATCAAAGGTCAGCTGTGCAGAGTCCAGCTGAACAAGACTAAAAAGATTCCCTTTATATCTTTAACAAAACACCAAAGATTTGTTAAAAGGCCTTGTAGTTATAGGACAATAGAAGTGATAAAACTGCTGAGAATAAAACACAGACGAGTCAGTTTATCGATTGCCTCTCTCGCTTTAAAACAGTTCATTCTGAAACAGGCTGTGTGTGCTGTTGTGTTCAGTGAAAGATCTGAAGCGCAGCATTTAAAGAACTTTTTTCATGTTGGTGATTCGGTTCAAGTTGAGCAACATTCATCATGACGAACACACACGGCAGCAGCCCAACAACCCCGTCAGCTCCATCCAAAACAACAAGGCGAGTACAGGACTGTCAACAAACTGTCATGTCGTTACGGAAACAAGGGAATCAACCAGAACTCTGTTTGGTTGCTCCTGTCGAATCGGACTATATAAACACAGTGCAATGACTAGTATAGCTCCAGGAAGTTGTGATGGAGTGATTCAGCAGATTCAACCAATCTCAGCATGTTTTTGGGACTTGGGAATTTAGGCCAATCGCCCACACTGGTCCCCAAATTTGATCAATCACCTGGTTCTATTCTTAGGCGCCAACGTGTACGTCACTAAATTCACTTCTTTGTTATTCAAAATATGGTAAATGGAAATGGACTTGATCTTCTAGAGAAGTTTTCTAGTCTTCTGACTACTCAAAGCGCTTATACACCGCAGGTCACACCTACACCTTCACATCGGAGTCTGCTGTGTAAAGTGACCATCAAAAGTCACTAATAACATTCATACACTGCCAAAGAAGCAGTTGGAACAACTTGAGGTTAAGTGTCTTGCCCAAGGGCTGCAGGAGCTGGGGATCAAACCCAGGACCTTCCGTAGAGAGATGATCGACTCAACCAACTGAGCCACAGCTGCCAAATACATGGTTTCCTTTAAGTCTGCAATGCTGCAAAAATGTTTGAGTGTTCAGTTTACTGTGTCTTTAATATCTTTTGAATGCTTCATGCTAGAGACTCATGTCTTTGCTGAGAAACAGACGGCTGTGCTTTTTGAACGAGGCCTTGATGTGACTGTTTCTCCGCCATGAGCTATCAAATTTGGAGACACTATACAGTAAATCCTTAACAATAAATCCAGCACTCAGTGTGTTCTTGCTATTAACAGTTAGCCGCAAATGTTGCCACTTCCTGCTGCCTTACTGCATGTTGAGTCTATCAATCAATTAGAGGCTACTGTTTCTAACTTTCCACCAACCAGGGGCTCCGTTAGAAAAGGGAGTCGGTGCTAATCTCAAATAGAGTTTGTGCGTTTACATGTAAGTAAAGTGTACAAGCCCTGAGGGAGAATTGAATTATTGTCAGTATCTCTGAATCCATCCAAAGCTCCCAGCAACAATAACTCTCAATCATGTAGACCACAATCCCCTGTGTCATGGATGTGTTTATGTTTAATATTGCTTCGTGGTGTTGACTTGAAAATGCCTGAAGAAGATCTGTTGAATCTAAACGTTGCTTTTTTAGGTTGCTGGGAGCTTTTAATACAGAGTGCGCGGATCCTTTTTTCATTCTTAACTTTAGTTTGATTCTCGACTCAGCATCTGTTTATGTTTATCTTTGGATGTGTGTACCCTACTCTTTGTTTTGTCTTCAGTGTCATGTAATTATTTCATTTATTATTTGGCATCCTGGCACAAAAGTTGCCTGGAAATGATGTCAGAAGAGAATGAGTTTACTCAGCCAATAGATGGCTTGTATTGTGTGTTCTTCCCAGTAGCTCAAAAATTATATTAAATGTCAAACCACAAAAAAACTAAAACTTCTGCAACGTCTTCCAAAAGCTGCCACTAAATCTGTCTTTTTAGACCACAACCGTCACAGAAAAAGTTCACATATTCCTGGACAGAAGAATAATGAAAGTCATTTACATGTACCTGTGATGTTGTAGAAGTAGTTGAAGCAGTTGAGGTTCAGGCTGCAGGGCTCCTTGTCGCTCGTGTCCGGACACTGCCTCCCCACAGTGGGCGACCGGAGGGTGTAGGCCTCTCGTACTCGACTGTTGATCCTCGTACAAGGCTGAAAAAAACAGACTCACATATAAAACAGAGGTCGACCGAGATGCTGCAAAAATGTTTAATGACTGTGCAGTGTTCATCAATGTTGCAAATGGTGATAACTACAGACATGTCCTTAAATTGAACTAAACTTTAACGTTCCAGCAACACTGATTTCTGAATATTTCAAGCATTAAAAGGCTCAAACTGTGCGAATGTGCCACTTCTGAATCTTCTTTAACTTGACAAGTCTTCTCCCTGGATGGATGTGTTATCATTTTACTTAAAATAAATAAATAAGATCCTTTCTCTACCCTCTATACTTGTAATCCCACAATGTGGATTTTTTTTTCCCGACAGGAAACGACAGGAAACTGATATTCTGCTTGAATGGTAAACCACCAGATTCTACACAGCCATTGCTTGGGAAGAAGAGAGTTGGGGGAGAAAATGACAGCCCCTTGAATAACTCCATCGCTGGTACCATGAATAAAACATGCCAGGGGCCCCGCTGGTGCCACAGCAGACTCCAGATCGAGATTGGAATTGTGGGGAAGTCGATGTGTCGAGCACTTTGGGAGAGAATGGGGTGTGATTAACAATGGCCGGCGTGCTGCTGCGAAAACAGCAGGTGAGGCGAGAGCTGCTCAAATGGCTTTTTACAGAGATGTCAGGGGTGGAGCTGCTGAACAGAATGTCCTGGCACCTTACATGCTTTTTTGCAAAGAGAGACAACAAAGATTGAACTCGTGACTCCACATTTATGTGAATGTTTCGCCGCTAGGATTAAATCAGGAGTTGGTGTCTCTTGACTAAATTCAATTTGCAGACTTTTTATTAGGAAATGGACTCTCATGAGGTAGAGAGAGAGAGAGAGAGAGAGAGAGAGACGGACTCCCATGATCCATTCATTTTACCATCAACCTCCTGGCTAGAATAAAGAGTTATGAACTAAATTCCAGGAAACATTACGGATCTTAATGCAGGATGACCGCCCCTCCACCCTGCTACATCTGTGCTAATGCTGCAGGCATCAATAAGAGGAAACTGATAGAAGATATCTCTGCACACTCAGAGCTCTGTTTCATCTTCATCAGAGCATTACGGATACACCAAGGGACAGGCGGATACAAATCCCTAATAGCATTCAAATCATTGCCTGGATGTAAAACATGTGTGCACAACCTGGTGGTGAAGCTGCACCTCTTTGTGATTACAGTATTTAACAAAGACTGTATAAATCATGGGTGTAGTCTAAGTGATGCTACCCATTGGTTTCTGAAGAGGCGTTATGAAGCCCAATTACGGAGGTAAGCAAATTAAAAGTGCTATCTCCACCTCCCTTTCCAATCAATCTAGAAACAGGTGAAGCTGGAGCGGGCCTTCAGCCTCCTGTCAAACAGCTACAAGCCGCCCACCTGTCGGTCACCTTAGCCACGACCAGACTCATGCAAAAAGACACATCTCTTCACCTTCATAAAATTGAAATGAGCTTTATTTCGGCTGTAAAATGGGACCTCGTGGGGATTTCTTGGTTTTTGCAGCCAGCCTCAAGTGGACACTTGAGGAACTGCAGTTTTGTGACGGCCATATAGCGAGAGAAACAAGTATTTGTTTACCGTTTCCCCCGGTGTAAATCAATGAGTTGGATGGTTTGATGGAAAGGAGACCTCGGTGGATAATTTGGCTCCATATTAAAACCTTGTAAACAACGGAACCAAAGGGTCATTTAGAGACTTGATTTGTTAAATTTACAGCCGGCCTCGCTGTGACTCCTGCGTTGTTCTGCACGCAATCAATGACAACGCTCGAAACGAGAGTCAGTGAAGGTTAATTTCAGGTTATGATTTAGATTTTGAGGTTGTAGCCCTGAATTAATAACTCTTCTCACTGTTTGCGGTCGCCTCTCAAGTGATAACAAAGCTTGGGGCAATATTTGGAGCCAGTTTTATGTTTGCCAGTACATCACTTCTGATGTAGGGACATCATTTGTGTGTGTGTTTTTTATGTCAGAAGATGTAAATCTAGAAAAACTGCTCAGCTGTCTTCACCATAAATCACTTTCTTTCCCTGCTGCATTCACAGCCAGTACAGTGTAATATAGGTGATATATAAGCCATTTTTCTCCTGCTTCCTGAGTTCATACATCTCTTTTAATTCCTCTGTGGTAGACGAGACATAACCTGTTGACAAAGATTCACACTCTGCTCACAATAATACAGTGTAGCTTTTTCCTTGAGCCTCAGAGAGAATTTTTCTGACAGGAAAAAGATATCAAGATAGATCTCAGCGGGCTTCACAGAAATCTGACGTCCTCATATCAGCGCTGCGCCAGACAGCCGAGCTGAGCTGCTCTCTGATCTGGCTCCAGCTCTCACCAGGCTGCAGCGGCTCCAGGGGCCCCAGTCGTTCAGGACGCAGTCCTCAGGGCAGGGCAGCCGGCTCTCCCTGGCCCCGAGCGGCATCTCCTCGGGGTCACAGAGGTAGTCCTCCACTGGCTCTGACGGCCCATCTATCGTGTTTAGCATGCACCTATGGGAGCGGTGGAAAAAGCAAATTTGACCTTTTTTTAGCTTCAGCTTCAGCTCCAGAGAACAGAACAGTCAGATGTCATGTTGTAACTGGACATGAGGCTGGCAGGTAAGGAGCTGCAGTACGTCTTTCTCCAGCAATTGGAGGAAGGGAAGGTCAGTTTAAAAACAAAAACATCTCTTTTACTGCCCGTGTTGAACTGCAGAGGCGATGGAGGGTTGGTGTAAACACACACACCACCTGATTCAGAGAGAAACCTGCATCCTTCTTTACACTTTCATTTAATCTTAGAACCAAGTAAATACATTCAACACATCCAAACTAATACAAAGATACAGTACAAACAGTTACTCTCTGGGTGCATGGGGGGGGGGTCTATTCTTATTTAAACTGAGCCCTGGCTTTACTAAACTGTGGTCGTAACAGTTTTTTGAATTTTCTCCTCATAAGACGACTCCCCCTTTTCAAGAACAAACCGCGTTTTATAAAAACAAAAATGACAAAAACAGGAAAAATAATGACGATACAGACATATTTCATATTCTCTGTAGTTCTCATATCAACCTCTTCTCTCTTTATTACACATCTTAGCGTGTCCTGCCACTCTCTCTCTTTACTGTTTGTGCCATAAAGGACAGACTTCACATGTCTCTCTCTGATTACCTGATTGGGAGCTGGTGCAGATCGTCCACTAGTTTGTCGATCTTATACAGAAAAACTGCCGCCTTGATGACCGTTACCTTAAAATGGGTCAATCAGCCGATCACCGGGTCTCCCCTTGGCTCTGTAGCTGCATGTGATGTCTCAGACCTCAGTAATGAGCTTTACACTCATAAGTGACACGTTTACTGTCATGACCATATCTCGGCATTTAAAAGTCTAGATCCTCAATGTAAGATGAGATAAGACAATCCCATATTTTCAGGCAAAACTGTCATCTTGAAATATTTCTAATCTAAAATCCTTAAAAACTGCACGGCTGACATCATGATACTATGATGTTGCATTTTTTTTTGTGTCCCAGTTTTTGAAATGGACCTAGACGTAGAGTTTGTGATTGCAGATGTGGTTACCAGAGAACCTGGATCATCGGTCTCAGCTGATGTCTGCGTTAACCGAATGAAAGTCTGGCTGTTTTTTTAATCCTCTGTTTTTAAAGGAGCAGGATAAGTGCTTCTGTATATCTCATTTAATTACGGTCTTATGAGTCGCACGTAATGCAATTAGAGTGTCTGTCTGACGCGCAGAAACATAAATCCAAAAGTTTGAGTTCCACCAGAGAGGATTTGGCAGCTTGTTGGTTGTTCACTGTCAGCTAAACCGTGTGAGGCGCGTTATCCCCGCCAAAACAGGATCCTCTGCATGTTGTCTCTCCCACAAACATGCACAACTTCACACAAAATCCATGTGTAATGATCTAAATGAGCATGTTTCAGCTTTGTTTGAGGCCTGCAAGAGTAAAAGATGAAGAGTACTGACAAGCCCGTCACATATTTAACAGTTTAAGCTCATGTTTTCAAATTGCTTCTTATGACTGATCAAGCAAACATGGAAAGAACAATGATATCATTTAACCTTCATAGTTAACTGGCACTTTTTGACGTTTCTGACAAAAAATGAAGCAATAAATTAATAATTATTGGGGCTAAAAGTAACAGTTACTTTTGTGATCATTCCATTAGTAGTTAAGGCGATATCATGTCTAAGAGCTGTGGAAATGCTCATCACAGTTTCCTGAAGTGATGACTTCAAAGTGTTTTCATTAACTATAAAAGGTGATAAAGGTGATTTAAACACGGCAGCTTTTATTGCCATCGAAATATTTGTTTATCCATTTGTTTAATCGACAAATCCTTATCCTTATACACTACGTTGAACAGTCATGTATCTAATAAAGCTTTGGAGAGGAGTGATCCTGTCCTGTATAGGGGCGTGTCCAGAGGGATGGACAGGGGTGGCAAGGACCCCCCTGATGACTGGATGACCTTTGAGGTCAGAGAGAGTCGTCAATGTGTGTGATAACCAGCTATAAACTTTACTTTGTGAAAACACTTAAAGAACAGACAGTTTGATAATTACCTGACTTTCCTGGTCTGGACACCTTCTCCACAGTTCTCCTTTAAGTCGACGTTGCTGACTTTCCACACGCTCCACGGCTCGGCCACCCACACATACTGATTACAGTCGCTCTGACACGGCACCACCTCGTACACCTGAGGACAGAACAACCTTATTCAAATGTGTGACATGTTCCCTGTGTGATTTAAAGTAGATGAAGCAGCAGATCAGAGGCCGGCACTGTGATCAGTTTTACTTCTTAATGCTCTTACTCCAAGAGAAGCCAAATAAATATTTCATTCTCATTGTCATGACGAAAACTTCAAGAACTCTAACAATCTTATTTTCATAAATGTTTCTGCCAAGTTTTTGTCAGCAAAGTTTTCGCCTAATGCTCTGTGATGTTTTGGCTCAGCTCTCTGAGGTTTAACCGAGCCAACGAGATTATTTCTGCCCTCAGAGCAGCTCTGCCTGGGAGACATGTCTGTCTAAATAAAACTCCAATCCGACAGCAGTTTGTTTATTTACAGTGAGGAGATAGTGAGTGTGTACATCTATCTGCCACTGACCCACTGACACCAGTGACACTTAACATCTGCGGTTAGATTAGAAATGGCTGAAAGAGGAGCAGCTCTTACCTGGGCCTGTAGCGGTGAGTCACATCCAGCGATCATCGAGGTGGATTAAAAGGAGACAGATGGATTAATGAGCACATGCCAACTCTTCATACAGAGCACAACCTATGATTAATGCAACTTTCCAGAGGACATAATCAGAAAAGCCTCTGGCATAAATACCTGAGTGAACATAGCAGATACACACACGCACACTGCCAGGCATACATCCACACAACCCCTAATCTATATCTGCTGATACTCACAGGACTGGAAAGCTTTTCATTTTTGCAAATCATAGAAACCTTAAGGAATCAACTGGCACACATTGGGGGCATTAATCTGGTGGATGGGATCCATTTATAGCACACATTACTTTTTTTGCACTGTTGCTGCTCAGCAAAAAAAAAAAAAAAAAGGAGTGCAGCAATAATGAGGGGAAGGTGGAGGGAAACTCTGCAGATTCAAGCTCATCATTCATTAATAATGAATTTTCTTTCTCCGTTTCCCCTCCACTGTTGGATTCCTCATACTGAGTCTGAATATACTGGAGCACAAGTCATACACATTCAAGAATTAACGATGAGTAGAGAGAACGTTCGTCCACTGCTCAGCCACCACTTCACCACATCCACTCAGCGGCCACTTTCCTCTGGCATCACGCTCAAGGAAACCTAAAAAGCCTCTGCATGTTTCTAATAAACTCAAACTAGGATCAATATTGGAGATGTTTTTGAAAAATGGAGAGAGGTTAGAACGCAGAAAGGTTTACAGACCGATGCAGAGCTGGCTAAATACTGAAGCTTCAGTGTCCACCACATGGCAACCTGTGTGAGCATCGACTCTAGAGAGGAGGGGGTGGGGGGAGACAGCTCTCTACAATGTTTAGAATTTGGACTGCAGTACCCATTTTAAACACTAGGTGTCAGAGATACATACTGCTCCTTTAACCAGCTTGGTGTGATCTCTTATGTCAGAGTTAATGAAGCCAGATAACCAAAAGGCAGTGTGGGTATGTTGAACTCTCTCTGAACAGGTCGCAGGGGGTCCTCAGTTTACATTATGACAATTTAACACATTCACATTGTTTTTTAAAATACACAAACATCACACAACACACGTCTCATCTACAGGAAGTACAAATTCCAACTGACACACATATGGAAAAAAACTCAAAGATTAAAGATGTTATAAAGGTTCTGAGTGAATCTAGAAGATACATATGTTCTCAGAAAAAGACCAAAGAACCATCATTATACATGTGATCTCTCCTCAGAGTCCGTACCTGGTTGATGTGGTCCAGTTTGGGACACGGCCGGCCCCCGTTGTAAGGTTTCTCTCGGAGCCATTTGGAGCGAACTTTGACTCCGCTGCCGCACGACTTGCTGCAACGTGACCAGTTTGACCATTCACTGAGTTTACAGTCTGAGGGACAGGGGATGATGCACGCCTCCTCGATATAACCTGACAGGAAGACAAAAAAGGAGGACATTATGAGGAAGGTCTCAAACATATTTTCATGGTGGTGGCTCTGCTGTTTGTCTCGTGACCTGCAGAGTGAAAGAGAGGATTATCTTAAAGGGGACATATTATGAAAAATCCACTTTGTGTTTTGAACATATATTTGGATAACCTGAGTGTCTACCGACCCACAAAATGTGAAATAAACCCATCCAGTCCTTTGTTTGTGGTCTGCATAAGTCTTACAACTCAGAGAAAAATGCTCCGTTTTAGAGCTAAACTTTTGCGCAGGTCCGCCATTTTTATTCTCGCTAGCGAAGGAGTGATGTCTACCAGGAAAACTCGGGGGGGTTCTTTGCATTTAAAGAGACACACACACCAAAACGGAGCGTTCAGAGAGAGCTGGTTTATACAGGGTCACAAATCTCCTCTGCTGCTTGATTCATGTTATACTTTGACCAAAGCACAGCACAGATGTTTCATTTAGACAACAGAGGACTGTTTGAAAAGATGGAAAAGGGGGATAATATGTCGCTGTTAAAGCAACGAGCAAAGAAGAAAAACTGAAAGACAGAACAATGACTGTCTCTTTTAAATTAATTCCTTGACGTTCAACTGTACTCTGTCATTAATTATCGCTGAAGGAGAAGGCATTCACCACGTAATGTATAACCGAGAAATAATCTGTGCCATCCACAGAGTCTCTGCCTTTCAGCGTCCCGTTAGAGACTGCTGCAGAGAGAAATCGCCTCGGCTGGAGACCTTGAATAGAAACGGGCTTTCTTTATCTCATATGAACCTACATTTGTCTAAAATTCCCAAAGGTTATTTGTTTTCTTTTCGACCGAACAAACAAACCTTAAAGTTCAAGAAGCCTTTAAAAGCGTCTTGGGTAAAAATACCCCGCAGTAAGAGGGCTGCAAACTAATAACCGATGCTTCACAAAATAATCTAAATCCACCTATTGATTTTTTTCAGCGCAGTGGAATGAAAACAGGGTCCACATTCAAAGGCCCATTTTTATGGTGTGTTACATAAAAGTCTGAGAATCTACAGAGACAGTTTGGGGCATGTCTGGCTGCCGGCTTCATTATTTCAATCTTTTTCTCCTCGGCTCATGGGGTCATGACACATTTATCAGGGCTGGTTTAAGCGTCTTACTCAGCTTGTTAGTCATGTTTTTTTTTATCATCTCTGGGTGGTGATTTCCTCGTGTTGGGCTCTACACCGAGGCCAAGGTTCAGTCAAATTTGTTGAAAGATGTTATTATCTGCACCTTTGGCCTTGTGCATTTGAATAACTCGATATCATTCAAAGACTTCCCCTGTTAAGCAGAGAGATACTAATATGTTTTCAGGTTTATGTAACAGCATGAGTGTGGAAATGTGTTTAGCCTTTGATTAAGGAAATCGATATGGTCAATGAGGCAGGAAAGTGGAGTTTCTTGCTGGGTGCCTAACCACTTCCTCTTACTGCTGGGAGCGCTTTCAGACTGCTTCTTCTAAAGAGAGAGATGTGGTGCAACATTGACTTACGGCTTCACTAAGAGCCCACTACCCTTGATTTGGGATAACAAGCTTCAGAGGCTGGTCAGCCCCTGCAAGTCAATTTTTAAAGGTGTATCAGAGGATAGTCTTACTGGGGCAATTTCATCTCATGTAGCAACATCATTTTTCAAACGGACACGCCGAGCTGCGAGGTAAAACATTTCATCCTGCCACTGTTGAAAGATTTTCAACTTGAGCACTCGGAGCAGCCGCACAAAAAGACGGAGAGCTTGAGAAAAAGACGCTGGAGCTTGCATTGAACTAACGAGGAACACTTCGGTATCGAAACATTGCCAACAAATGTTTATTTTCTAGTGAGAGAGCATACACAAGTTTTCATGCAATTTTTAAGAACTCTAAATGTTGACTTAGGAACTACATCTTTCTGAGTCCTCAAAGAATGAAGCAAGGAAGATTTACCTATTGTCATTTTCTTCTGTCGATCTCAAAGTAGAAGTGATTTCGTGGAGATAAAAGACTAAATAAATGAAATTCATTCACGTTTTTTCACACAAACTTAAAGCTCCCCTGCAGAGGTCATCAGTACCCCAGTTTTTTCAGCCCAGTCAGAACAGTCAGAACACGCCCCTGCTCTTATGAGTTCTTTTGTTTTCCTTCTTTGTGACCATCTTTTAGCAGAGCTTCAGACTTCTGCTGCCAGAGGTTGCAGCCTCTCTTTCTCAAAAACACAACTATGCAATATGGATGATTGGAGCTCAAACGTGGACTTTGGCTCAGCCGAAGAGGACGGTTGAAGGATGAAGGATGGCCCCGAACAGAGCAGTCAGAGTCTTTAGAGCTAATATGATTGAAAAAAAATAAAAGGTCTACTTAATCCCGTCAGGACCGGAGTCCTGGCATGCATGGGACCAAGTAATGCACAGTGACATAATGATCTCATCCGTACACGTGCCTGCACACGCGTACTCTGCAGCGCGACCTCTTTACACTCTGCTGCCCCTGAGGCCAGATCAGCATCACCACATCCACACCTTGCTGAGTTCGGCGTGGCCTCTGAGAGCTGCACCTTTTGACCTCACACTGTAGACTCCAAGTTCAAGTCAAGTCACTTTAAATCCCTCTCGCTGTCACCTTAAGCCCATCCCCCGAGTGCAGAAGCTGCAGCACCTCAGCCAACAGTTCACTCGCAGTTCAACTGATATCAAGTCGTAAAGGTGCCAAGCTCTCCCCGAGAGGCTTTTGGATTAAGTCCAGGTGGGAGATCACTGCTGCTGCCTTTTAAAAGTCAACTTGTAACCTGGCACAAACTCCTGCTCCAGATCCTGAAGCAGTTGTCACCGCTGCACAAAGCTTCCCTTTCTCCTGATTGCTCAAATCAGGACATATCCCAACCAGCTCCTTTTCCTCCCGATGATAACTTGAATATCCTCTGGAAATAGACAAGCTTCCTAGCAACAGTCACGTTCAATTAGGAGGATGCTTATAACATAAGCGGGCATAGATATGTGAGCTTAATCTGTACTTTACTGCGTCTCACTGCATGGTAATGATTTGTTGTTATTTTCTCTTTGCACGTACAGGAAGCAGCTGGTATTTTTTTTGTATGTTGGCACAACGTGAAGACCTAAAAAGCTTTGAGGGGAAAACTGACAGAAACAAACTGGAAAGCACTCACAAGCGATGGCAACGACGAAGAGCGGAGACTCAGATTGATCACCTGCTGCTTAAGGATCCATTTGCTAATTTAGAAGCTTTACAAAATAATTTGGTTCTGTTAAGTCTGTTTGGAAAGAAAAAATAAGTAAGTAATAAGTAAATTGTGTTTACTTAATAATAAGATGTTTAAAAAAAACAGAGTATCAGTTAACATTTTAATACCAATAAGAGCATTCATACTTTTTGTTTTAAGTAATAAAAAACATCTTTATAAAGTCGAGTATCTCCTCTTCTTGACCACCTCTTGATCGATGGCTTTTCTTAAAGTCTAATTGAATTTCTCAGATTGGGGAATCAGTCAGAGCAGAGATACTGTACGTGGAGCAGAAAGGCAAATGTCTTCTATTTCAGAGAAGTAAATCAACTGAACCCGAAGGTCTGTTGTTCTATTTTTGAAACAACACGTTGTCTTTTACATCATTAGCAAATGTCCGTGTTGGAACTTAACAGCTCAGGGGTGAATTGAGGGCTCTGTGTTGTGTTGTTAATGAAGTAAAAACAGAACATATTAAAACTCAAAAATTTAACATTAAGGAGTCCAAACTGCTGAATATTTCTGGTTGGAGCATTTCTGATTCTTTCAAAGTTTATAGTTAGCATGACGTAATGAGAAGAGTCTTTACATTTATAAGAATAAAAGTTGGTGCACCATGTGCATCCATAGCAGCTAATAAGTAGACATACAGGAACACTTTTCACTCTTTTTGTGCACTTGCAGACCCATAATCATTTCCGACATCCTGGTGGTTGATCCAGACACCATTTATTTCTGTCCATCCAGCCGGGGCAAACGTCCGGCTGAGTCACCATACTGCTGGCTTCTGAGACCAAATGTCTTCCTCTCACTGGGTGGTTGAGCCCTGAAGCTTTATGTGAAACTTTCTGCTCCAGGGATCCTCTGCCTGATTTCTGTTCTGTTACACCTCCTGCATCACCGCCTTCAAGGCGAGGGGGACAGACTTATTGCTGGGCGCTTTAATAAATATTTCCCCGGGATGAAGCTAAGGGCCCTTTGATGAACATAGCCATGTTTTTTCTGTCCATCAGCCGGGGCAAACGTCCGGCTGAGTCACATACTGCTGGCTTCTGAGACCAAATGTCTTCCTCTCACTGGGTGGTTGAGCCCTGAAGCTTTATGTGAAACTTTCTGCTCCAGGGATCCTCTGCCTGATTTCTGTTCTGTTACACCTCCTGCATCACCGCCTTCAAGGCGAGGGGGACAGACTTATTGCTGGGCGCTTTAATAAATATTTCCCCGGGATGAAGCTAAGGGCCCTTTGATGAACATAGCCATGTTTATCAGAAGCTGACCTTGACAGCGATCTTCCTACATGTTGTTTCACTCTGAACAGTTTAAACTCAGCGCAGCCTCTCAGTGTTAGTCTCTTGTTATTACAATAACAGGTTGTCATGCACCAACAAATCTGTTCACCGTAGTACTGCTCAAATTCACACCGGTCCTCAGCAAGATACTTGCCCTTAAGCTGTACCCTTTATGGCTTCCCAGAGTGTCTGTCTTCCCTCCTCCTTCACCACATCCTGCAAAGACGAGGCCAAGGCCCCCAGAGCCATCCTGTAATATTAAGTCATGCTAAAGGTCAACGCATCACAGGTCCCATATAGTCATAAATATAAGCACTATATGAGTAATGGCATATATATATATATATATAAGACATAGCAGGGGACTTATTGAAAGATTTCCCCTGGCTGCATCCTGACCTTTGGCCCAGCGTGGGTGGTAGAGGGAGCTGAAGTGTATTTTCTGATAAGGGATGT